AGATGGACGAGGGGGAAGATAGAAGGGTTTGGAGAAAAATTCAGGAGAAAAAGGGGAAGGGAAGAGAGAGTGCAGGAGGAATGGAAGAATTTAGAGGGAGAGATAAAGGAGACGATGAGAGGACTGGGTAGAGCGAAAGAGAAGAAGAAAGGGGGGATGGTGGGATGAAGAATGTAGGGAGGCGAAAAGGAGAGTGAGGGAGGAGTTAAGGGAATGGAGATGAAAGGGGGGAGAGGGAGAGAGATATAAGGAAGAGAGACTTAGGTACAAGAGGATATGTGAGGAGAAGAAGAGGGAACAAAGAGAGAGATGGGAGAAGGAGGTAGGGGAGATTAGGACAGAACAGCAGGTATGGAAGGTAATAAATAGGAAAGAAAGAGGAGGAGGGAAGTGAATGAGGAGATAAAAATGGAAGAATGGGAGGAGTATTTCAGGAGAATATTGGGAGGAGCGAAGAGAAGGATAAGGAGGGATATAAATAGAGTAGGGGAGGAGGATGGGGAAGAAAGACTGGAGCAAGAGGAGATAGGGAGGGTGATAAAAAGATTAAAAGATGGGGAAGCAGTAGGAGGAGACGGAATTCCAAGTAAGGTGTGGAAGTACGGAGGGCAGGAGGTACAAAGATGGTTGGAGGAGATATGTGAAAGGGTGTGGAAGGGGGTGGCCGGAGGAATGGAGTGAGGGAATGGTAGTGCCGATAATGAAGAAAGGGGAGGGAAAAAAGGTGGAGGAATACAGAGGGGTGACGCTGACGCAAACAGCGTACAAAGTGTACACGGCGGTGCTAGCGGAGAGAATGAGAGAGGAAGTGGAAAAGAAAAGGATTTTGCCAGAGGGTCAGGCGGGATTCAGAAAGGGAAGGGGGACGATAGATAATGTGTATGCATTAAACTATCTAATAAACAGGAAGGTGGAAAGGAGAGAGAAAAGAATGACAATACTGTTTGTTGGTCTTAGGGCGGCATTTGATGCAGTGGATAGGGGGATATTAGGAACAGCAATGAGGGAAAGGGGAATGGGAGAAGGGCTGATAAGGAGATGTGAGGAGGTGTTAGGGGAGACAAGGAATAGAGTGAGAGTGGGGGGGAGAGAGGGAGAGAGATTCTGGACAGGGAGAGAGGTGCCTCACCTCTCTCCCTGTCCGCTAAGTCCAATATTATTTACATTATTAATTGCGGATATAGATGAGGAACTAAGGAAGGGAGGCTGGGGAGGGGCAAGGTTGGGGGAAGAGAGGGTATACACATTGGCATATGCGGATGATCTGGCGGTATTGGCAGAGGATGAGGAGGGGATGAAGGGAATGATGGGGAAACTGGAGGGATACTTAGAAAAGAAGGGACTGGAAATAAATATAGAAAAAACGAAAATAATGAGGTGCAGGAAAAGTGGTAGAAAATGGAAGAAAGTGGATTGGAGATGGAAGGGGAAGAGGATAGAGGAAGTAAAGGAATATAAATATTTAGGATACATGATGAGAAGGAACGGGGAGCAAGAGGAACAGATCAAGGATAGGGTAAAGAAAGGAGCGAAGGTGATGAGACAAGTATGGGGGATAGGAAAGAGGAGGTTTGGAAAGGACTGGTGTAGGAGGGTATGGCTGTTCGACAAATTGGTGTGGTTGGTGATAAGCTACGGGGTAGAGATATGGGGATGGAAAGAGAGGAGAGGGATAGAGGAGCTACAGGAAAGATATTTAAGATGGATATTGGGGGTAGAGAGGTGGACCCCAGGGTATATAATAAGAGAGGAGATGCAGAGAGAATTAATGAGAGGCAGAACAGGAATGAGAGCATGGGGATATGAGAAGAGACTGGAGGAAGGGAAAGGAGGAGAGATAGCAAGAAGGTGCTGGATGGAAATGAGGAATAGGGCAAGGAGAGGAAAAGAAGTGGGGAAATGGGAAGAGGAGAGGAGAAGGTTCTTTGAGGATAGGGGGTGGAAAATAGACGAGATAGAGGAAAGGAGGGAAAAGGGAGAGGGGTTAAGGGGAGAGGAAATAAAGAGTAGAGAAAGGAGGAAGCAGGAGGAGGAGAGATGGGAAAGGATAAGAGAATCAAGACACAATGAGGGATACGGAAGGGTGAAAGGGAGGGGAGTACCGGGATATCTGAAAATGGGGTGGGGAGAGAAAAGATGGAGGAGGATAGCGAGATTTAGGCTAGGATGTAAGCTAAAAGGAGGAAGGTATTGGGAGGAGGAGGAAAAGAGGAGATGCAGGATGTGTGGGAGAAGGGAAGAAATATGGAAGCATATATAGGAGGAGTGCACAGGATGGGGGGAAAAAAGGGGATGGCAGGAGATGGAGAGGGAGGTACTGGGAGAGGAGGGAAAAGGGGAGAAATGGATGAAGGAAGTGGAAAAATGGTGGAGAGGAGAGGAGAAGAAGGAGGGGGGAAGGAAGGGGAAGGAGGCGGAGAAGGAGGGAGATAGAAGGAGCACCGGAAACGGAGGTCATGGAATGAGAGGAAAAGAGTGGAGAGTGAGAGAGGGGAAGAGAATGGAGAAGAGTGAGGTGTGTATGTGTGTGTGTGTGTGTGTGTGTGTGTGTGTGTGGAGCTCTCTCTCTCTCTCAAGCAATTAGAATTTAAGCGGTTAGTATTTAAACGATTAGAATTTAAGAGATAAGAAAGATAGAGGAAATGTAAAGGTAAAGGTTAGGTTAGGCTAAGGATTGTAACCCCAAGGGGAGGCAATAAAGAATATACATACAATTATCTTTGTCTTTATTTTTTTGTAACGTTCTTTTGGAATTTGTTTTTAGAAATTAGTCTTTTACGGGATTTTCTATATAAAACGGTTAATTATATATCCGAGAACTATTATCTTCGTCTTTATTTCTTTGTAATAGTAAAAACAATTTTTAAAAGTTTAAAAGTCAGTGTTTTTTATACGGATTTTTTTGCGGAACAAACGCTGGGACGCGTGTACATAGCGTCTTCTTTTTACTTTTTTTTTTAAAGTAAGTTTGTTTGGATTTCACATCTTTTTTTACAAATATGTATGTATATGTGTATATATTTACGTTTACATGTAGATATATTTATTTATTATTATTATTATTAAAGAGAAGAGGTCCCACCACTACCCCCGTCGTATTTTTTGGCATATATTATCTGACGATCCTCTTTGCTATCGGAGAAATATTAGTGACATCAACAAATTTAGATTTAGATTAACGTTATGTAATGCAATTTGGGAAGATTTAATGAGGCATATAAAACAAGAAAATAATTCGCAATATATTATATATGTCATGTGGTCAACTGCAAAACTCTGATTTAACTCTGATCTAACTCTAAGGTTTGTGTTAATAATAATGAGATTTTATAATAAACAATGAGACAAGTTTCAGATGACAAGTATTAAGTAATAATGCGTACCTACATCAAGTGTGAGATACTCAGATCTTATTTGACTTAGGTACGCATTAATTAATATTTGTCATCTGGAACTTGTCTTATTACTATTAATCTTATTACTATTAACACAAGCCTTAGAGTTAGATCAGAGTTAAATCAGAGTTTTGCAGTTCACCACATGACACGCATAATATATTTAAGGTCTGTTTTAATAGTCATGACTTCAAAGAAGTCTCTAATAAAATATTCACACTTGATTTCAAAGTTAAATGAGAGATCTTCAGTAATAGCGTTATTTTTACAAATACATAAATATCACATTTGTATCATTTAACTGAAACGTTTGAATTGAACTTTGAATAATCATCTGAGTATTTCACAATGAAACAACCCATACAGCACAGAAAGATTGCAGCAACATTATAGCAATCTTGTTTTGCAAGATTGTATCATTACAACATCATTGCAAAATGTTGCTGCAATGGTGCAGCAATATTGCAGCAACATTAAAATGTCCGCTTGCAGTAATATTACATTGCAATGATGCAGCAATATTGCATTATAATAGCGCAGCAATATTGTACTGCAATACTGCAGCAATATTATACTGCAATAATACAGCAACATTCTGTTGTAATATTGCAATAACAATGTTATATAGTATATATACAATAAAGTTATAGCTACTATGCCTATATATATATACATATGTGTGTGTGTGTGTGTGTACAGAGTGGCGTAATAGCTGTAATATACAAAATTAATATAATATTATATAGCTCTAACTATAGCTCCAATATATGCAACTAAACCATTCTAAAACATGTATTCAACATTTTGTAATTATATAATTCCATATAACATAATTATGTGTTAATCTTTTTTCCACAGATACCAGCAGATGGCAAAATTGTCAGTACAACGTTATTGCGATATTAAAAGTCCGCTTTTTATTACATCTAAAACGAAATATAACAATTATCAATGTTATATTTTGTTATAAAAATGTAATAAAAAGCGGATATTTGAATATTGTCATAATATACTGAAGTATTTTTGTCATTTGATATCCACAAGATATCTGTAGAAATTAGCAAACAGCTTATTACGTAGGATATCATAATTGCAAGTTATTAGTTAGACTCACATACTATAATATAGATATTATGTTAAACAGCAATCGCAGTAGTATTGTAACTATTAATAAGTCAAAATTATAACACATGTATATATATATATTTATTTATAAAAGTATGTTACAATAATTAATATTAAATATAAATTTGCTTCTTTGGTTAATATACTAAATGGTGCACATACAATGGTGTTCATAACAAAATATAAACATATGTATATAAAACATAAATAAAGTGTTTTATCTACTTTGGTAGTAAAAAATAAACGAAAAACATCAAAGAACTATAAAAAATTATGAACACATATATGTAAAAGGAACACATATAAATGAAAAATATTATATTAATACTATTAATAAAACTATTAATAAAAATACTATATTAAATGATAATATAATTGTTAATCATGAGCCACCGTTTCTCCAATTTTTTGCCTTGAAATCTGTACAGTCGCTTGTGCAAGCCATTTCGATACATATTCCGCATAGTCGTTGTCTGTCATTGCGCTGTGGAATATACGAACAGCTTCTGAAATATATACCATCATTACCATATTATTATTATTTTTACAAAATTTTAAATAATAATTAAATAGCAACTTGAATCTAAATAATACCGTTATTTGCAATATTGATCAAAATCATATTGCTTTACGGAGTAGAATAACACTGTTTTCTTTAAAATTCGTTCATTTTGTGTAAAAGCGAATCGAAATAGCTTATAGTCTAATCAATTTTCAAAGTGAAATCCGGGAAACCAAATAAATACCCAAGAGATATATAGTCTTATCTGTATGCATTACTTACAACACCTGTTGCAGGGTGTAGTCTACGTATATACTTATATAGGTCGACAAAATACAATTTCTGAGTACGGTGGTTCCAATGAGGTCTTTCAGAAAGGTTATAAGGCTCCGTCAGTTTCTCAACACACACATTTGTGTCATCTGCAACTTGACTAAATAAAATATAAAGGGACGAATTGTAATATTTTACGAAGTGAATTGCGTTGCAAAACGATATTTACATTGTCATTATATGTCGATAAGCATTCTTTCTCGTTTGAGATGAAAATATGACTGCGATCTAGATCAGTTTGATCGAAAGACGTTACAATAACGTCTTTGTTACCAAATAACCAAATGTATTTACATACCTCTTTTCTCCAGCTACGTAATAGACACTGTAAGGAGATTCCAACTTCCAGCTAGAGAGCCTCAAAGGGAGAGAGCGGCAAACTGATCACGTGACCAGGTCTCTGCTGATTCGATGGAGGCACAAGGTCTTCTTCACCAATTAGAATATTGATATAGCATGACGACAAGCTGGTTTTACAATGAGTCATAGAGTTAAGACCGACTTTAACCCTAACTAGTCTAACATTTGGTGATTTAAGTCGTAAGCTTTAAAAATTGAATAATCGCAATCAAGTTTTTTTGTAACATCTATCAACGAATAGAGGTTAAAAGAGGAGGTAAAAAGAGAAGGTTAAAGCGTTTAGTGTCGCATAGGACATTCGTTCACGGATATTCAATTGTTACTGCAAATTAATATCTTTGCAATATAGCTGCAATATTGCAGAAATAATATTGCACAATATTGTTTTAGCAATTTTGCTATAATATTGCACTGCAATATGCAATTTTGCAATGTTACAACAATGTTACTGCAGCTTCTGTGCTGTATGGGAAGTTTCAGATGACAAGTATTAATTAATGCGTACCTAACCCAGTAAGCAAAATGCTAACAGAATGCGCGCAGATTGACGCCAATTTCGATCAGATCTCCACATCAAAACCATAGCCATCTGTGTCCTCATTAGGCTCGTGTTTTGTGTTGGGGAGGGAATACGGGAGTAGTTCCCCCGACTCCCCTCCTCACGGTCCGACAGGTAGACATCCCGCAGGGGTTTTAGTCGGTAAGAGTCCGACATAACCCCCTTCCCCCCCAAGGGGAGGGGGTATCCATGATGGATTTCCCCTGCATGACCAAAAAAAAAAAAGGCTCGTGTTTTGTCGACAGGACCTGTATGACAGGCCGTGCGAGCAGATTGTCGGCAGAAACCGCGTAGGTCCTGCTGCCAAATTACACGTAGAGTCTGCACGTAGAGTTTGCTCAGTTTCTACCGCCAATCTGCCGTCAAATTACTGCAAGTCTTGCGCGGTTTTTGCTACAAATCTGCCGTCAAATATCTGATAACAGGATCTGGCGCATATTTGTCCGCAGATTGGCGGCATAATTTGATATAACAAATTCTGCGTTAAATTTGTTGTCTATTTGCCATCAAACTATGATAGCAGGCTTTGTTCGAAATCTGCTCGCGCAGGTTTGGCTATCTGGGAAGTCAAATGAGACCTGAGTATCTCTCACTTAATGTAGGTACGCATTATTAATTAATACTTGTCATCTGAAACTTGTCTCATTGTTTATTATAAAATACTCAGATGGTTATTCGAAGTTTTATTTAATTTCAGTTATTAAATGATATGTGTGACATTCATATATTTGTAATAGCGCTTCGACTGGAGACCTCTTATTTAACTCTGAATTTGAATCTGAATATCTTACTAGAGACAAGTTTGAAGTTGCAACTACTAGGTGCGCAACTAAGTTTCCGGGTTTCACACATGGATGGCGCTAACGACACATGTAGTCGACATACATGTCTGAAGTGGTGTTTTTTATAGCTTGGACATCTGTTAACAATAACCAGTCGTAATACTAACACATATCACAACGCAAAAATATTTTTTTCTAACAACGAAGATGTCGAGTTTTGTGCCAAATAAACAGCATTTACGGGAAGCTTTGCTTTTCTGCTTTAACTAGAAAAAAAGTGCAGCTGAAGTACGTCGTTTGCTTGAGGAGACCTACGGTGAACATGTATCATCGAAAACTACCTGTGAAGATTGGTTTAAACGCTTCAGAAGTGGCAATTTCGATACTGAGGACAAGGAGCGCTTCGGAAGACCAAAAACAATAGAGGACGACGATATGCAAACGTTATTGGATGAAGATGATACGCAAACACAAAATCAACTTGCGGAGGCATTAAACAGGACTCGCCAAGATATTTTTAAACGTGTTTACATGCCATGGGAAAAATTCAAAAGGAAGGAAAATGGATGCCGCATGAGTTGACTGAGAGACAGATGGAAAATCGAAGAGCCACTTCCGAAATTTTGTTTTTGCGGCATGAAAGAAAGAATTCCCTGCATTGAATTGCTACTGGCGATGAGAAGTGGATATATTTCGAGAATCCCAAACGCAAAAAATCGTGGCTTTCACCTAGCGAAGCATCAACATCGACGGCACGGCCAAATCGCTTCGGAAAGAAGACAATGCTCTGCGTTTGGTGGGACCAGAAAGGAATCATGTACTATGAGCTGCTGAAATCCAGCGAAACTGTCAATGGGCATCGCTACCGACAACAATTGATCAATTTGAACCATGCATTGCTCGAAAAACGGCCAAAATGAGACATGAAACACGAACGATTGATATTGCAGCACGACAACGCTCCGTGCTATCGCACTTCCATCGTCCAGGACACCATCAAAACGCTGAAATGGGATCTGCTACCACACCCGCCGTAGTCGCCAGACCTGGCCCCTTCCGATTATCACTTGTTCCGGTCGATGGCGCATGGCTTGGCTGGGCAACACTTGGCCAATTTCGAAGAAGTGCAAAATTGGTTGGATGAATGGTTTCGGTTCAAAGATGCGTCGTTTTATCGTCGCAGTATTCATGTATTGCCAGAGAGATGGCAAAAATGTGTAACTAGCGAGGGACGATACTTTAAATAAACCATTTTTTGTATTTCTCTTGAAATTTTCCATTTTTCATTGATCAAAAATCCCGGGAACTTAGTTGCGCACCTAGTATTAATATAAGTCTTAGAATTAGATATGCATAATATACTTAACGCTTGTTTTAATATCATAATTTTAAAGTTGTCTTTAGTAAATTCATATTCGAATTCAGAGTTAAATGAGTTTACTAATATATTATCTGTTACAAATGCAGAGATCTCAGGATATACAATAATAATTTAGTAAAATAATAAATTAATACATCATAATATAGAATTAATAAGATATTTTATTTTTTTCATAGACTACATATTTTAAGAATAATATATATTTTATATATATATAAAAGTTAAAAATTAAAAGTTAAAATCAAAATGTTTTGTTCCATATCCCCCGCATCCTCTCCCACAGCCCCTACGGCGTGCTCTGCCGGCACGCTGCTTCTTGGACCTGTAATTATAAAAATGTTATTATAAATATTATTGTCATATTTCTATTATATAAGTGGTCGATAAATACGTAACAATAAGTACTTACTTTGTTTTACTGGCTCCGATGCTGGAGCTGCTGATAGTTGGGATTGTGGTGGGGGTAGTGGTGCAGGTGGAGGTGGAGGTGGCGGCGGTGGCGGCGGCGGTGGTGGCTCCTTAATTTTAACATTTTAATCTCTTTTTTTAATTTTATAATTTCTGCTGCTACCTTCACTTGATCCAGTACTTCAAGTAAATCTTGTTCCTGAAAAATTTAAGGACGATTATTTATAGATAATCAATTCATAAATATGTTCACTATAAACTGATCTAGACTGTCATAATTCTACTATATAGGCAATACCTATGGTACAGATATAACTTGCTGATAGTGGATAGGATGATAGGAATAATAGGGACAATAGGAATGGGTGGAACCTTATAGAAGAGTTCCCTTCCTCTCATTCGCTTTTTCATCCCTATTACTCTTACATAGAAAAAGGGCAGATCTTCTCAGCAGGCTATGTCTCGACCCTAGATATTTCTATGGTGTCTGTTATTACAGAGATCGATTGTATTCATATAAATCTATAATGTTAGTATCTACGATGTCTATAATAGCAAAAAACATTAAAAAGATGCAACTAAATTTTCAATAAACTGAATGACATGCATTATATTTAAAAATCAAAAGAAAGGAATGAGATACAATATATATAACTCTATATTAAAAGAATTAATAATGGCTGCATACATATATATATATATATTTATTATTATATTAATATATGGTTGTTAATATTTTTGTAATTACCGTTTAATAGTATATAATACTTACATCGTTTTCCAAACGCCATGCCATTTCCAAATGGATCACCAATAATAATAAAAATATAACCTTATCTTTGCGCGGTTGATAAAGGAAAAGGATGTAAAATGATTATCGATAATTGTATTTTCAAGTGATAATCGATTTCGCGTAGCATGCGAGCAGCGACACCAGTTGGTCTGTTCTTTTTAGCTGCGGTGGTGCAGTATTAGTATAATACAGTACCAATACAGTAGTGCAGCTAAAAAGAACAGACCAAACTTGGTGTCGCTGCGCGCATGCTACAAGGAATCGATTATGATTTGAAAATACAATTATTGATAATAGTCAATATACATCCTTTTCCTTTAATCAACAAGAGATTCCCGTGAGACAACTGCAAGGTTATTTTTATTATATTATTGGCGACAACCTACCCGTTTGGAAATGGCATCAGTAAACGATGTGAGTATTATATACTAATAATACTATATGATATTTTTTACGGAAACTATTACAAAAATACTAATAACCATATATTAATATAATAGTAAACATATATATATATATGTGTGTGTATAACAATTATTAATTCTTTTAATATAGAGTTATATACATATTGTATCTCATTCCTTTCTTTTGATTTTAAATATAATGCATGTTGTTAAGTTTATTGATAATTTAGTTGCATCGTTTTAATGTTATATAGACATCGTAGATTATCTATAAATAATTGTTCTTAAATTTTTCAGGAACAAAATTTACTTGAAGCAGTGGACCGAATAGAGGCAGCAGCTCAACTTTTAAAATTGCAACAAGAAGTCAAAATATTAAAAGCGAAAATAAAGGAACCGCCGCCGCCGCCACTACTACCACTTCCACCTCCATCATCACCACCACTACCCCCACTACCACCAACTCCAACATCGGAGCCAGCAGAGAAACAAAGTAAGTATTTATTATTACATATTTATCGATTTCTTATATAGTAGAAATATGACAATGACATTTATAATAACGTTTTTATAATTACAGATGGCAGCGTGCCTGGAGATCACGCCGTACGGGCCGCGGGAGAAGACGCGGAGAAACATTTATTTACGAAGCCAAACATTTTTATTTTAATTTTTAATTATGTAT